ATTATATATTTAAATAGTTTAATTTTAATAATTTTTTAAGTATATTTTTATCTTTTCACTTAAAATATTTGAATTTCTATATTTTAATTTGAATTATATTTTAAGTATATTTTTATCTTTTTGTCTTAAATTTTTGAATTTCTATATTATAATTTTAATAATTTTTTATTTCTACTATTTATTAATTCTTTTTTAATATTTTATAATATTATTAACATTTTATAATTTTAATTTCTATAATTTTATTTTATTTTTTATTTTATAAATATAATTTAAATTATTCATCTTATAATTAAATTAATTTTTTAAATCTTTTTATGAATTCATAAAAAAAAATATTAAAACCTTTCTATTTTTTAGGATACCTTAACAACTCCCTTAAAAATATACATTAGTTTTTCAAAGTTTAACATCATTAAGGTAACTTCCATCACCCATACCATCCGAAGCAAACATCACCCACCTCTCCTCTTTCACCTCCCCGAAGGTGTTATTGCTGTCGTGAAGGACGCCATACGTGATGCGACGAGGGTGGAAGGGGATTCACGTCAAGTGTGAATTTTTGACAAATTGGGGTTCTATTTTTTGTTCTTGGAGCTTTTGTTTTAGATACCAGAGGAAGGATAGTTGTTTGGGAAATGCAAATTAGCAGGTTGGGGATGGTGACGTATTGGTGTCCGACGACGTCTTTAATCTTCTAGAGGAGGAGTAATTTTTCGATTTCTCGTTAGTTTCACTAAATGATAAAACATGCCTATTGTGAAACAAATTGGAAAAGGTTATAAATCCTACGTACGTGGCTATTTTAGTAGATGTGAATGTGACAATCTTTTATTGAAGGACAGGAAGTGAAATAGGATTTATGATACCGGTGATTTCAATCCCTTCACGAGTTATCTGCTTTCTGCATGACTTAGTAAATGCAAATGTTAAGATTGTCTTCAAAGTCAAACCAATAAATAGATATGTATGTAGATAAATAATAAAATAATTTAAAGGAGCATGTTCTTATTAGATGAAAATAGAATAAAAATTATTAAGAAATTAATTTTTTTTTCATAAAGTTATGTATTATTATTAGAACGTTCGGTCTTATCTTTATCACGATATTTTATAGTCATCTCATGATTTGTTATATTTTTTTTTTTTGTTGAGATCGCAAAGCCTCCAATAAAAAATTTAACTTTTGTTAAACAATCTAAATCATAGAAAATAAAACTCATATCTTATTAAGGGAATTTCAAATATGAGAATCATAAAGGAGCTTCATTAATAGACTTATATTTTGGGATATAGTTCTCATGGTGGTGAGGATATGAGTGTTTCTCACAAGAATGATTTTAGAATAAAATGATCGAAAATCGTTGCAACAAATCCTCACAAAAGGTTCTTATAGAAATAGATATATAGATAGACAAATAAATAGATATACATGTATGTAGATAAATACTAAAATGAATGAGAGTAATATGTTCTTATTAAATGAAAATACATAAGATTTATTAAGAAATTAAAATTCCTTTTGATAAAGTTGTACATCACTATTCAAATATTTATCTCTAGTCCACTCATCTTTGTCACCATGCCCCATAGACATCTAATGATTTTGTTATATCTTCACCCTTGTTGAGATTGCAAAGCCTCCAATGGAAAATCCAACTTTTGTTAAACAAACTAAATCATAAAAAAATAAAACTCATTTCTTATGAAGGGAATTTCAAATATGAGAATCATAAGGGAAGTCCATCAATAAAACCCATATCTCACAAAATGGTCTCCAAATAAAACGATCGAAAATTGTCATAACAGATCTTCACGAAAGATTCTAACAATTGATATTTTCCTCTTGTTTTTGTGTGTTTTCCCCCTCTATTTCTTATGCTTTCATTTCAACTCCTAGATTATTCTTTTTCTAGATCTCTAGTTGTTTTGGTTTTTATGCACTTGTTTTTCAAAAAAAATTTGATGCTAGTTGTTCTGATTATATATTAAAGTATTTAGAACTATTTATTTATCCTCTTCACATTATAATACTTAGGAATGGAGAGTTGTGGAACTTCCTAAGCCTATGACTAACCAATCTAGGTTAATCATATTAATATCAAGCGATCTATTATCGATTTACTATCTACTAATCTAACAGATTAATATCCTTTAATCTATAAAATAATATATACAACAAAATTATTACTAAGACAAAAAATAATATATATCATGATGAGAAAAAATATAACACTGTTATTGATACAAGATGAAGAGAATCCTATTTTCACTCAAGCTTACTTTTATCCTAAATTCTATACCGAAATACTTTACCAATAAAAATGTGATGCTTCTATGTTGTTTTGATCAAATATGATTCATTGGTGATTTTTATAGCCCATTTTGCCTTCATATGCCTTTATGTGTGCTTATAATTTTAGATAATTAGATACACCCGAAAATGTTCCTTTTTTTTTTTTTACCGTTGTTTCATGAAAAAAGTATATATGTGCACTATGTTGAAGGTGTGTTGATATGGTCATGAGATTAAATAATTTTTAGTGATTTTTATGGTTGGATATAATTTATTTTGCTTATATGTTAGTTACGTAGTAAAAATGTCATTTTGTGGTTTTGGGTCTTGCCACGTGGCACAGTATATATTTTTTTTAATGTTGACAAATATTTGGTGCTGAAATTTCAGTGACAATATCATTTTTTATTTGCACATTGTGTATTACTATTTTGGTTTTCTGGTTGGTAATTTTCTTGTCTAATGAAACATTGAAAATATTCCAGCTTTAATGAAATAAAATTTTGTGTGAATCCCTATAGTGGACAAAAGTTGAAGACTTCGGTTATTTCTCGAAGATTCATGACATTAAACGATTTTTCTTGGCACCTCATTAAGTGATGTTAGGAGTCATAAAACTCTAAATATTGCTCAAACGTAAACTTGAACTTAATAAAAGTGATTAAAGATGGGTTTTAAGCTCTGAAAGTGATTATAAGTTTTTAAAAGATTTTACAAAAATATTGCTCAAACGTGACCTGGATATGCTAAGCAGAGAAACATTTGGCAGCACGAAATAATTATGTCCTTGTGCATTGGAGATCTTAATCTTCTATTTGGCGTCATCAATTTCGAACTGGGAGAAAACCCCTGATAATGGAGTCATCAGCTTCACTTAGCGTAGAAAGTGAAGGAAGACACCGAACATTGGGTAATTGAAGTGACGCAGAAGCACTACTAGTACTAGAACTATCCTCATTCGTTTCTCCATGTATGCCATTTGCACCTCTCTGTAGCTGCAGTGCATACTCCAAGTCCCACAACACATCACCCATGGTTGGCCTACCAGAACCATCTTCTTGCAAGCATTTTTCTACCGTCTCACTAAATTTCTTGAGCGAGTTTTGATCTATTTGGCCCTTGATAGAAGGATCAACAATCTCTTGGAGTATCCCCTTGTTTTTGCAAAGCATTCCCCATTCAGCTAAGTTTATCTGCTCTGTGGGAAGCGATGGATCAATGACTGCTCTTGCGCACAACACTTCCAAGAGAACTACCCCAAATGAATAAACATCAGATTTTTCTGTGAGCTGCTGCGACCTGAAATACTCAGGATCAAGATACCCAAAAGAGCCTTTAACAACAGTGGTGACATAATGTTGATGATCAAGAGGACCCGTCCTTGAAAGGCCGAAGTCAGCAACTTTGGCTACATGGTTTTCATCAAGCAATATGTTTGTGGACTTTACATCACGGTGAATGATTCCCCTAGCTGGTCCATTGTGAAGGTAATTAAGACCACTGGCAGCTCCAATGCAAATTTCAAGCCTATGCCTCCAAGACAATCTTGGCAAGTTTTTATTGAACAAATGCTCTCTGAGTGTCCCTTTTTCCAGGTACTCATAAACTAGTATCATCTCAAAGCTGTCGTCACAATACCCAATTAAGGAAACAAGGTGTCTGTGACGAATCTGGGACAGAACCATTATCTCTGCCTGAAATTCTGGAAGGCCTTGAAGCGACCCGGGTTCACCTCTTTTGACAGCCACTACCATACCATTCTCGAGAACCCCCTTGTAGACGATGCCGAAACCACCCTCGCCAATTATCTGACTTGCGTGGAAGTTATTGGTTGCCAATTGAAGATCGAGCAATGGAATTTTGAGTCCAAGGTTTATGTTGGGAAGAGTAGAGCCTTGGCTGGTTCCCTCGGTCAATCTACATTGAGAACTTCCTCCTGTAGTAGCGAGAATTGGTAACCAGTCAGAATTCTCAACGGGCTTTTGCTTCCTTATTTTACGAAATCCAATTACCCCAGCGAAAACCATGATTAGACCTCCAATAACTGAACCCAGCACCACAGGAAGACGCTTATGCTTGGAAACGGATTCTGCCGGGTCAGGGGGAACAGAATTTGATGCCTCAATGATTTCCATTATTTCTAACCCGTTTAAAAACGCACCAACTTTTTTAGCAGATTCAACAGGTGTTACGCTGACCCTCATAAATCCAGAGTCATCAGAGTGCACCACAAAATCATAATAATAAGGAGCAGGCAACTCGCTATACACGTTTCCGTCAATATTTATCGGCATAACATTGATGTCGTAAATGGACAGAATGAAGAATGTAAGATCAATTTGTGAACTGAAATAGTCACAGAAGTGAAGCCGAAGGAGATGATCTATGTTCTTCTCCACCGGAAGTCGCCATGTTATGTTTAAAAGTTTAGCGTCTCCGGCACCAGCAGAGATGTTTTTAATCTCTTTAGCAGTTCCGTACACATTAGTTGGCGCCGTAAATTTATTTGCATTTGGACCTTCGGAGTCATCTTCTACACGATACTCAATTTGACCTGAGAAAGGGTAACTAACCTTGGCGTTTTCTGGATAAACGAGATAACTATCATCTGGAGACCATTTTCTTAGCAAGTTATCGTTGATAACAATTTGGCCACCAACGTTAAGCCTAAGTTTGGTTTCCAACACACGAGAGTACAAACCGTTGAAAGTAGCTAAGCCTCGGTTATTGCCACTATAAGTAAAACGCGCGACTACATCATCGATCAAATGGAGGGGGAGTAGGAAGAGTTCTATGGCATTGACAAACGCAAATGATGATGGCAGAGGTCTGAAAGTAATTCTGAAGTTGGGGGTGGGGGATGTGATATTGATGAAAAACTCTTTCACCGGAGCATGGTTGTTATCAGTAACATTTCTGGCATCAAAATTTTGCAACAACCAGAACCTAGGAACCGAAACGTTGAACCTGGCTGAGTAAAGATTACTCGGGGATGAGAAAGAGAAGAAATGGAGGCGTACCAGGTAGGTGCCACTTGTGCCGATGTTGAACTCGTACCAAGACTCACTTCGAAAAATTCTTGCTGTTTGGTATAGAGGAGAAGGTACATGTGACTCATTGCTTTCTGTCTTGCTTCTTCTGCTAAGACGGGCTATAGGGTTTGATTCACCAACGTAAACCACGCCATTTACGCTAACGTTGCTATCTGACCCACAATTGATGAAGTACTTATCTGGGACATTGTACCCGTGCGAGGGGAACTGCAGCGATGAAAACTGAAGCACAAAAACAAGTACTGCGTAGATAGAGTGTTGAATTCTACGGATTTGAAGAATTGCCATGGAAAAATAGTGTTGGGATTAGCTTCTCCTATAATTGTTGCACCGTCCAAACTAGTGTCTGGGGACTCGACTCTCGAATAAGAGGAAGACTTCGTCAGCGTTGATTTTTCTTTTCATTTCCTGTTTCTTTTTTTTTTCTTTTTTTTTTCTTTCTTTTTCGTTTTATTCTGAAAGTTGATTTATCACTAGACAACTACGGATTTTTAGAGCCATGAAAATTAAAATTGAAAAGTCCTACTCACGATTAAGATGAGTATTAATTATATAGAGAAAAAAAAAAAAAGTGATATTTGTGGTATGACTATATGAAGGTGGTCTTGGACGCGTGCAACTAGTTCCAGGCCCTGCCCTGGTCTCTCTTAAAGTCAATTTAAGATAAATCTTAGTATTTTGAACTAAATAATATAAATATTTAATAATATGATAAGTTTCATAAAAAAAAATTATTTTTTAACGATAATTCCTGGTATGTATCTCAGCCACTTAGTCAGTTAGTCTCAAAGGTCGAATTATAATAAATAAGTCGGTCAAATATAAGTATTTTGATTTCATTTTTTTCGAAATTGTCAAGTCGCCACCATGGAAAACGCCAGTGCAAACTTGTGGAATTCCATAGCAATAAGCCCAGTGACCATATATCAGGGTTGGATATATGGATAAAATTCGGGGAGGATAATAATCGGATAGTTTAAATGGATGTGAACATTGAATGGGTACAGTTTATTTAGATCCTTTCGGGACAAGCACGGTTGAATTCATATATGAGAATAACTCTTAAATAATATTACTTAAATATATATATATATATATAAAGTAAATAATTTTAAATATCATATTTTTCATTTATTTTATCTTTATAAATTAAGACTTTTATTTGTATTTTAAATTATAACTTATATTTTTATTTTTATTTTAATATTTGAACAAAATCAATGTTTAATATAAGTTTAAAAGTTAACATCAATCATTTATTTTTAACATTTTAATATATTTAATATTAAATATAAGTTTAAAATTATTTTTTATATTTTTTAATTTTCTAAAAATTCACAAATATTTATAAATATCTACAAAATAATTATAAAATTTATGAGTATCTTCTTGATGAATATTTGCTTAGATTTGAGGTAAGTATAAGATAAATTTTTAATCAACGGGACAAGGGCAAGAAACCTACAACTTATCTCATAGGGGTCCATTGTCATCCTTAAGTGTATCATGTGGATCATCCATTCTTAAAGATGAACTCTTCACTCAAGTTTTAAAAATTCACACATTTTGTTGCATTATTAGTTGACTACTTGATGTCATTAATTAACCATTGACGTGCTATGTTAATTAATTGATGATGTAACATGTTAATTATTGATGTGATACATTAAACATTAATGTGTTACGTACATTATGTCACGACATCATGTATATATCACATCAATAATTCATGTCAACAATCAATATATCATGTAAATAATGTATTATGTCAAAAACTAACTAATGACATCAATAATCAACTAAAAGAGTGATAAAGTGTGCAAAGTTTTGAAGTAAAACATACAATTTTAAAATTTGAATCACAAAATTCGTGAGAATGTAAAAGATAAGTGAAAAAGTGTAATTAAATATTATTATTTTTACCATTAATTATTTTCTAGCATCCCAGCTAACCTTTTTCATATTTCATATACATATCTTCAACAATTTATGAGCAATTGTTTTAGTGTCCACACAATGATATACGCTTGTATCCAACTACTACATAATCAATGTGACTACTTATCTATTTCTCTTCTTCAATTTACTTTTAGATTTATCACTCGGTCAAGCAATATCCCCTCAATATGATTATACAAATCTTTGTTGTATAACATTTCTTTCATAAGTCTTTCAAAGTGTATATTTTGTAGAGTTAACTCAATCATATTTGGCCATTTGATTTTCCTCCTAATTAAATGCACAAGTCAAAACAACCTCTTTTTTTTAACACTTTTTTTAGGAAAAACAAAGATACAAATCTCTAATGAAGAAAAAATCTCCACTAAATAGGCGCAACAAAATATTTTTCCACAATACAATATCAATAAAAAAAAGAGGGTCAGCGTAACACCTGATGCATCTGCTTACGTTCCTAATGCATTTTTAAACGGGATAGAAATAATGAAAATGATTGAATTACCAAATTCTGTTTCTATTCCTTCTGACATGGGCAAATCCGATTCCAAGCATAATCACCTTCCTGTGTTGCTGGGTTCAGTTCTTGGAGGCTTAGTCCTGTTTTTTGTAGTGGTTGTGGTACTTGTCTTTCTTTGGCGTCTTAAAATGAGGAAGCAAAAGCCCGTTGAGAATTTGGACTGGTTGCCAATGCCAGTTATTGCTGGAGGGAGTTCTCACGGCAGATTGACTGAGGGAACCGTCCAAGGCCCTCCTCTTCCCAACATAAACCTTGGACTCAAAATTCCATTGCTTGATCTTCAATTGGCAACAAAGAATTTCCACACAAGTCAGATAATTGGCAAGGGTGGTTTCGGCAACGTCTACAACGGAGTTCTCAAGAATGGCATGATTGTGGCAGTGAAAAGAAGCCAGCCAGGGTCAGGTCAAGGCCTTCCAGAATTTCAGACAGAGATCATGGTTTTGTCTAAGATTCGTCACAAACACCTTGTTTCCTTAATTGGGTATTGTGATGAAAGCTTTGAAATGATTCTGGTTTATGAGTACATGGAAAAAGGGACACTCAGAGACCATTTGTACAATACAAACTTTCCAAGCTTGTCTTGGGAGCAGAGGCTTGACATTTGCATTGGAGCTGCCAAAGGTCTTCATTATCTTCACAAAGGAGTGGTTGGTGGAATCATTCACCGTGACGTAAAGTCCACAAACATATTGCTTGATGAGAACCATGTTGCTAAAGTTTCAGATTTTGGCCTTTCAAGAACAGGTCCTCTTGATCATGAATCACATGTCAGCACCAGTGTTAAAGGCACTTTGGGGTATCTTGATCCTGAGTATTTGAGGAAGCAACAGCTGACAGAAAAATCTGATGTCTATTCATTTGGGGTAGTTCTTTTGGAAGTGTTATGTTCAAGACCAGTTATTGATTCATCGCTTCCAAGTGAACAGATAAACTTGGGTGAATGGGGAATGCTTTGCCAAAACAAGGGGATACTACAAGGAATAGTTGATCCTTCCATCAAGGACCAAATAGATGAAAACTCACTCAGGAAATTTAGTGAGACAGTAGAAAAATGTTTACAAGAAGTTGGTTCTGATAGGCCAACCATGGGAGATGTGTTGTGGGACTTGGAGTATGCGCTGCAGCTTCAGAGAGGTGTTCATGGTAATAGTTATAGTAGTGTTTCTGCATCACTTCAATTGCCCAATGTTCGGCGTCTTGCTTCATTCTCCACACCAAATGAAGTGGATGACTTGTCTAAGATTTTAAATTCCGGCAGCATAATGTGATTGTAGCTATAGTGGCAGCTGATACGCAAATTGAAGTAGCTGCCCTATGAAATAATGTTATGTTTTGTATTTACCATTGGAAAAAATATATATAATTATTATAATATTTTATTAATCTTTTATTTATAATATTGGATAGAAAACTACTCTATTTCCTTGGTTCTGTTTTGTAATTTCCTATGATATTGTATGAATTATTTTTTTATAAAGATTTTCATAATCTTTATGAATAATTTAAATTTAATTATAATTAAAATAATGTTATTTACACTATATAAGGGATACCTTCTTTTGTTTTCATATTTTTTAAACATTTATATTTCTTTATTATATATTATTTTTTTCTTATCATCATATCTCTTATGCGTAAAATAAAAAAATATCTATATTATATATATATAAAATATCTCCTTTCTGTATTCATATTTTTTTTTTAGACATTTATACACTTTTATTATATATTTTTTTCCTACCATTATATCTATTAAAGGTAAAATAGAAGAAAAAAACATGTAGAAAAAGATTAATTATTCATTCTATTAATAATAACTACCATCATATTTTGTAATCATCTTTAGTCTCCAATTCTGTTTTTCTAATTGTATATTATTTCACTTGATTTATATACTGTAATTTCTATTATTTTTATTTTTATTCTTATTATTTTTAAAGCAAAATACTTAAACACATAGATACATAAAATACCTAAATCCTATTAGTTATACATAAATTTCTTAAAATTTATTATTTGAACACATACAAGTATAACATTTAGAAAGAAGTGAAATAATAATATTATTGATAATTTTTAATAACAGACTAAATATATTTTTTATATAATAATAAACTAAATATATCATTTACATATTATGTGTGTAAGTGTGCGTAAAGAAAATATATCAAAAAGTTTCAATAAAGACTTTCCTTGTAAATTATCACTACATGAAATGTTACATATAATGACATACAAAAAGTGTCACTAT